GTTATCTTGTGTCATTTTCCACTGTGCAAAGTGGCTGAAACTGCATTAGAGCCAAGTTAATTAATATCTGATGTCTCTTCAATTGTAGTCAATTCAAATACAAATATAACCCTTTATATATTCAAATATTCTCTTTAAACTATTCAGTAAAATATTCATTTTTATATGTTATAGCATATGTATAATTAATATTTATTTTCTAAGATAACACATACTTTGGCCACTATTACATATTTCATATTCTTTTCTTTTTGGTTTTTTTATAGCTCAGTATGGCCTTGTACTCACTATGAAGCCCAGCCTGACCTTGAACTCCTGCCGTAGTCTCCTGAGTACTGGGATTACATGCACACACCATCCTGGCTGATGATTTCATCGTATTTTCTAAGTACACACAACTAGATCATTTTCTGTTACTATGATGAAATACTCGAGACAAGCTAACTTTATAAAGACAAGAGGTGTATTTAGAATTTGTGGTATTACTATTCAGTAGACTGATATTAATGAGTAAACTACTTGAGTTAATTACAAATTATAACAGTTATTGATTGAAATTTCTGTTATCCTTCAAATAATTATGTCATTTACAAAACAACTCCTTTGTTTTATGTTTACTTGCATTCCTTAGCATTTAAAATATGTTATAAGATGATAAGAATGAATTATGTATTATTTCCTAATTTGAATAACAGTTCCTCTAATGTTCCATTGCTAAATATAATATTGTATAGTGTTGGAGCTCTTTATTTCATTTAGCAAGCTTTTAGAATTTTTTGCTTAAAAGTATAAATACCTAGATTCTATTCATGCTTTTAAAGTAGGAGGCAGTCATATATTTTTCCTTATATGATATAAACATCATATTTATTAATGATTTCCAAATACAATCTACTTTTCTGGGAGCTTGGGAAAATGTCTCAGCTGTTTCATTGTTCCATTTTTGCTTCTCTAAACTTCTTCAGGCCATTTGGCTTCACTCCTCTCCTTGGCATGCTCATAGATTTATACTTGCAAAAGGTAAATTTGCTGGCAAATCTTTCTATTTCACATTCACAAAATCTATCACATGTCTTCAACCATTCTCAATGGTCTAGAGATATACACTGCAGAGAAGAGAAATCCCTGAAGTTGATGTTTATAGTCATATGTGCATAATAGGCAGCCTTTTTTACACATCAGTTTTCCATCCCCAACATTGGGTGCAGGGATTTAAAAAAGAATAGTGGCAAGTGGCCAACAATCAGTGCAGGATTTGGAGCAAGCAGTTCTGAGATCTGAGCAGCAGCTGGGCTTGGCAAAGAAACTGAAAGAGGAAGCTATAGTGGCCACCTGAGTAACTCCCTGGAAGCAGGAAGTCACCTTTTTCCATTGTTACAACTTAAAAGATAAGCAGTCATTCGCCAGGTGTTAATTATGTAAACTGGTTACATTTTCCATATTGCTTTTTTAAAAAGTGAGGGCTATTTTTTTTTCCAGTTGTAAAAATTGTTGGATTCCAGGGGTCTTTGCACAGGAAAATTTAGAGAAGGGAGAATTATTCCATCTGTCTTCATCATGTACTAAATAATTATCAGTGGTTTTATATCTTAGATCTCTACAGTAAGACAGATACTAGGGTTATAAAAACTATAGAATTTATACCAAAGATAAAATAAACAAAAATAATTATGCCACATATACGACATGATAAGTAAACACAAGAGGAGTGTTATGAAAGTTCAAAGATAGAAACTCTTCCTTCTAGATAAGATAATTTGAAAAAGACAAAATATTTCATCTAAGTTTGGGAGGAATAGGGCATGGATATGTGGCTATATTGGAGAAGAACATTTTGAATTGTGGAGGCCTATGCTGTATCCAGGGAATACTGTCCTGAAGAGAAGAGAATCAGGCAGAGGAGGAGTAGATACCTGCCAGCTGTGCATGACATGTGATTGAACTGAAGGAGTATCTGTGAAATGAAGCAAAGACACAGAGAAAACAAAGCTTAGGACGCTGAAGAGGTAGAGCTGATAAAACTTGGCAAGCAAAATGAGGGCAGAGCAAGAAAGAAGAGCTAGGAATTAAATTTTTAGGTGTCTAAGCTAGAAGATTTGGGTACCATTAACCAATACAAGGGAACAAAATAGTGACACAATATTGAACTTTGACAGAGCAAAGCAAGACTCCTTCCCTGGCATTTCTGTGAATCTAAGTTTCAGCAAAATGGTTAAGCCCTTAGCAAATGGGATTTCGAGTAATGTGATATGATTTTTTTTTTATGATCTATAGTGGCTAAACCTGTGACTCAGGATAACATATTTTCTTTCTTTCCATTTGTTCTCATGTTTAAATTACTCAAATACATATGATTTGTTCTGGGGGATTTACAATGAATTGTTTATTGACTGAAATCATCTCCAAAATATGTTTCTATGTCCTAACCATGTTGGAAATTCATACAGAACAGAGAACCAATATCATCTCTTTGCAACTCTACAGACAGGATCTTATCACATACTAAATAAATACTTATTTAATATTCATGGGGAGATAAAGTCTAATTGCACTGGTAAGTAATTTCAGTAGGTTCTCACTCAAGTGTTACAAAGATGAGCAGTAGCTTATTCCAGAGCTTCTCACTCTTGGTACTACTGACATTTGATCCAGATATTTTTATTGTAGGGATGGCATTATGTTTTCTGTATCCCTGATCTCTGTTCACCATCAATAATTCTCCAACTCTCCCAAGCTATAGCAAGAAAAAAATGCTTCTAGACATTGTTAATATTTTCTAAAGTTAGGGTGACCAAATGCCTTAATATCTCTGAGGGAATTTCTGGGACACAAAAGCAATTCTTGGGCAGACCAGGGTAAGTTAGGTGGGGGTGGGATAGCTCTAGTTGAAAAATGCTGGTTTTGAGAAACAGAGTAATCTAAACCATGAATTCACAAGACCATAATTTTTTCTATGTAAGCAAATATTCAATAGTTTTTTTGTTTGTTTGTTTTTAACCCAAAGAGGAAAATATTCATTTTGACAAAGCTTGGAACACTGCAAAAGACTTTATGAAGAAAAGTTCATTACCACACTTGCTTCAAGAAGTTATAGGTAGAAGTTACACAAGTACAAGGACAAGCGGGTTAGTGTGTTCTGATGAGCATGGGACAGGAGTGTGAAATCCACAGTCAGATTACAAAGATAGGATAAAGTTGAATCTTAGAAAGCTTGAAGTCTTAACTAACTTAAAACAAACACTAATAAATAATACATACAATATACTAGAAGTTGTTCCATAACTCTGACAAGTATTACTGTGGCAATTTTAACAAGAGGAAATGAAAGCAAGTAGAATGATTAATTGTCTTTCTTGAGGACATAAAGTTAGTCACCCGGCAAGTTATAAGCCTCGTCTCTGGCTCCTTGGTTCCAAGCCCTTGACTGCCACATTCTCCCACCTGTCCAAATGACAGCAGAAAATCTTTCAATCTTATGAGCAGCAGAACAAAATGAGCAGATATGGATTTTGAAAGGTGAGTCAGATGGCTCTGTATATCAAAAACCTTGGCAAGACTGCAATATGAAGACTATATATTTTATTCTTTCCATCCTCCATGGCAACTCTAGTGCTTCCAGTTCATCCATGAGAACTTCGGTAAAATCAGTAAGTTTAGAATCTAAATTTCATAGTGACATTTAGTTCCGTGAGTTAAATAATCTTAAATGATATGGTAGTCCTCAGTGATGACAAGCTGCTGTAAGACATCCAGGACTTAGCAAATGTCCAAGTTGAAAAACACAGAGGGAAAAGGAAAACTAAAATGCCATGGATATAATGGAATAAAATCAAATTTATTTAAAGCTAGCAGTAATTAGGTGCTTGCAACTAATAATAATTTCCAAAGAAAAACAGGTGGTACCTCATTAACTTGACCTTGTAAAAGATGCTCTTAAGATTTGAACAAAGCTTAGGAAATAAGGCAATAAATCAACTATGATTCCTGAGGGAGGATTTGAAAAACACATTTTTCTATTTTCAGATTGGATGTCCTAATAAAATGGGATCTTTGGTGCTCCTTCCATCTAGACTTTTCCACAGAAGCTCTGGCCCTTGCGTCATTTCTGATAATTTATTAATACCTACCACTTAAAAAATGTTCCTTAATAAATAACCCAGGCATTGAGGACTGCTTAATGAAGTTAATTGAAGCAAGTCAACTGAAATTCGTGTAGATTACCATATTAGATTAGGGGAGATTGCCATCACTTCTGCTGTTTGCTGAAGAATGAAGTTGAATATATAAGGAGCTACATTAGATGACAGTTTCAAACACCTGTCCTGGGTTTACATGCAATAATATGGACAAAATTCAAATGATGTTAGACAGAATCTGGAAAGAGTTCCTGCATCCTTCTCTCAGTCCCCATTCTTTCATCACTTCTACCTCTAACTTTCCTATACACCTTATTACCTTTTAGTGTAGATCCAGGAGTTGGCTGACTCTGGAGACCCTGAGACATTCTCTCAAAAATAAATGAATGAGTGAATGAATGAAGATACAACCAAACAACAAAACAGAGTTTAGTAAAGCTTACTCATTTCTTGAGGGTTCTATACTCAATAGAATTTGCATAGGAGGTATTTGACAACAACACTCACTACTTTCTCATATTCATAAGGTTGCCCAATTGGTAGCTTTAGAATAGATAAGGAGAAAATTGTACAGCAATACTCCGGTTTGCCCTTTTAATGATATAACCACTTCAAATGTTAAACCAATAACCTACTACTAAGAAAAAAATACATAACCATCAATTTAAAAATTGGTTACTAGCTGAGTAAATCAGCTGAGTCTATGTAAACTTGTGGTAAGGTATAATTTTTTTTTTTTTTAGAAAAAGTACAAACAAAACAGCTAGAGAAGGGCCTTAAATTGCTTCAGAAGCTGACATCCAGGAGAACAAGAGTCCTCAACAGTTCTCCCCCATGAGAATCCTCTGTGTTATCCACACTTACCATCTGCCTTCCTGGAATCTTCCTCTTCTATCTCTATTTGTGATGCTTGGTGTTTAGATGAGACATGGATCTGGTTCTTTTGATCATTAGCCTGGGATTCAGAAATTTCCTCAGGTTTTGTTTCTGTATTAATGAAAAAAAAAATTTGTTTCTTTAGATTAAAAACAAAACATTTTTCTTTGTAAATGGCCTTAAAGTGTTAGGGTGTTTCTCTTGTATACCCACCTCACCATGATACTGATATATATGCAAAAGAATATATATATAACATATTCAGAGCTTGATAAATAATACATAAAATACCATACACCAACTAGCAACTTCATGGTCTAAAATTCTGCTGTAACTGACAATGTGAAATAGGAAGAAAAGGGCTAAAGGTGTAGGGAAAGTGGGAAGGGTAGGGGAAAGGTAGTAAGGGAAAAGAACAAATGTGAGAAAATGAAAAAATGGAAATAAAGTGTTTGTAAATGGGGAGGGGAGAAGGAGGTGAAGGGAGGGCAGGGACAAGGGGAAAAAATGAGAACCAAGATCTGTCATGTAAAGGTACAAGATCCCAATGATGACTGTAACTGTACAGTATGCCTAAAATGTACCAATAAGCTCAACAAAAATAAAAATAAATTAATCAAAGATGGGTGGAAGTGAAAAAATAAATAAATAAATCCTGCTGTCTAATACAATAACGTCTATTGAGCATTTTATGAGGCTGATTTAAATTGATGACTTTTAAGTGTAAAATCAACCTGATTTTGACAAAAGTAAATTATCCAATGTTTTTTATACATTGAAATAGTAATTTTGATATGTTAGGATAAATGGCTACTAGAAAATTTCCTATGCATTTATATTTGAGGATTATATTGTACTTCTATGGGACAGAACTATTAGTAACAAGATATTACAGACTGTTTTTAACATTTCAATTAAAATAGTGATAGATTCAAAGGAAGTTGCCAAGAAATGCACAGGGAAGACCTATGAATTTTCATGCAGTTTCTCCACTGTCAGCAGCCTGTTTGGATACGAGGTAGGGTGCCCCCTTAGAAGTCATCACTGAAGGTGATTGGAGGTGGTGGACCTTTAGGAAGTGGGGTCTAGTCAGAGGTCCTGGCTTCATTTAAGATGCACCAGTAAGAAGCTTTTGGGACCCTGGTCTCTCTCTGGTCCTCTACTGTGTCTCTGATCCAATTTGAAATATAGTCATGTGTTAGAACAGGTGCACCCACAGCAGTGTACCCCACCTGCCACCCTCATTGGACACCAAAGCAATGGGGCCACTTGGTCATAGACTTGAAATCCAGAACTGTGAGTCACACAAACCTTATCTCTTTAACGGTTAATCATCACACGTGTTTCATGGCAATAATGTGAGGATGGTTAATACTGTATCAGAACATGCAAACTGTCATTGGCACAAACTGACAGAATTTGAGCAGATGTGTGCTTTTAATAGAAAAACTCGTATCTTCAGTCTATCTTTGCCTGAAGAGATAGTTCATCTTCTGTTCATTTATTTAATAAATGTATTTATCAAAAATATTGCTTTTGCCAGGACTTTGTCTAGGGGCCATGAAAACCATGGTAATATAGACAGCTCCAGCCTTTGTAAAGTGCTTATTCTAGTTTGGATGGCAGAAGATAAACAGATACATTTGTAATACAGTGTCGAGTAATGCTATGCTATACAATGAAAAGCACATAGTTACAGAGGTGGAAGTAGGTCTTTCTGAACAGGTGTGATCACAGAATGATATATCCTGAGATGAAATCACAGTAAAATAAAACAAAAACCAACAACAGCAAAGAGGAAAAAAAAAAACTTGTTTTCACTTAAGATCATTGATGAAGCAGCAAAGAGAATTTTGTTAAAATTTTGTTATAGTGATTTTCTAAAAGAAAACCAATTCTGTGATTGAGTTTCAAGTTGAACTAGTTGATGTCTTCATGGAGCGCCATTTTTACTAAATGAATTAGAAAAATGAGAGAATAAATTATGATTATTTTTACTTCGCTTTAGGGTAGATTTTCTTTTATTAAAATGAAAAGTTTTTTTTTAAAAAGTTTGTTGTTTGTGATAAAATTCAAGCTTTCATAGTAAATCTAGAGCTTTGAAAAACTTGTATTAATTTCCATGAATTTCACAAATTTCTAATTGTTAAAGGTACAGGTTGATATTAACCAATGTGATTTTTTAAAACTGTAGACTGAATTATGTTAACATGTAAAGTTCTGCATAACTCAGTGTTCTTCTGAATGACCAAAGCATAAAGTTTCAAAGTCATGCATCTAAAAGCTTCATTTAAAATACAAAATAGGCTAGTAGTTTTTCATGTAACAAACTATAAAAAGTACTCTGAGATGGGCCTTTAAGTAAACCTATGAAGTTTGAGTCTAAAATCAAAGAATACCTATAATTATTTGTAAAAGTTTTGAAAATATTTTCCCTTTTCCATTCAATATCAATGTGAGGTTGAATTTACATCATATGCATCAATGTAAATCAATACAATGGCACAAATTGAATGCAGTAGCTATTAGAAAAGTCGAATAAAGAGGACATTAAAACAGGTTTGTAAAAATATCATGATTTTAAATAACTTTTAAATAACAGAGTTAAAAATAACATAATTATATTTACATACACTGCATATATTGTTAAATTAAAATCATTTAAAATTTCCTGTTTTAGTTTTCAATTTGTAAATGTAGATGGATAGGACTCATATAGCTGAAAGTTCTTTGTCTCCAGTAATGACTGAGAGTATATTGGAGTCCAGAGACAATAATTTGGAAAACTGTTGACTAAATATACATACAGCTGAATCAATTGTCTTCTATGAGGAAGTTGAAGAACAGTATATTTCTACAATTCTAGAAAGTAATTTATGGTAGTTTTAGAAAAAAAGCAGATCACTTATACAGAGCCTACTTCTCTTTTTTTTGTTTTGCTTTGTTTTGTTTTTTGAGGCAGGGTCTCACTATGTAGTTGCACTGACCTGAGACTCAATATGTAGCCCAGGCTGGTCTCAAACTCACAGAGATCCTACTGCTTCAACCTCCTAATTGCTGGGATTACAGGTGTGCACCACCATGCCCAACTAAAAGCCTACTTTTGAAATGTTTTCCCATAAAGTTCCTTTCAATCTCTCTATAACTTTTTTTAAACATGGTTAGGAGTCTGTATTGACTCAGAAAAAATATAGCAATTTATTACAAGCAAATGTGTCCACAGATATTGAAAGATTTAAAGAACAAAATTAGGGCTTAGGTTATACATATTAGTAAGTGTAGGAAGAAGCTATTTCTAGGGCTGAGAAGACAAAAGGAAGGGTCGGATTGCAGAGCATATGAGCGGTCCCAAAATGGCTGGTAGGGTTAGATATTAAATGGGTGTGAAAATTAAATCGCCTACTTACCAGGATTACACGATGTAAAAAAATTATGAAAATCTGCTTTCAAACCCCAAAGTATTACACATAGAGATGGTGTAGATTTTAGATTGAAAACTATGAAACAAAATAAGCTGTAGTTCAACAAATCACAGGCAATGCAAGAAAGAACCAGGTTCTGAGCTTATTTTTGAGAAAGACAGGGAGTTCCTTGTAGTTGGTCCAGTCAAGATCAGCAGGACAAAAGAGAGGCAAGGACCTGGGGGAGGCACAGTTGTGCTACAGAGCATCCACCTAGTGGTGCTGCCCTTACCAGAGTGTCTTAGCGGACCATGCCAGTTTCCCTTTTCTTTCTGTATGTGTGCTTCAGTGCTCTGCCTTTTCTCATTTTGTCTATCAATGTTTGTTTAAACATTTTGTCTTACATACTTCTTAGGATCACAAGTGCTCTCCATTTGATGTTCTGTGGCATGGAGTTTGGGTGCAGTAAGGCATTTACCAAGGCCCTCTCTGCCCCTCCCTTCAAAGAACGGAGTGGAAAGAAGCTGTTTTAGAGAACTTCTCTCCTTTACTGACTCTGACTCCAGACTAACAAAAAGTTGAATATACCTCTGGGAGAATGTTCAAGAACATATTTAATTTCTGTGCTCATAGAAAAAAATACCCAACACTCTTTTCCCACTTTTGAAGAAGAGGACATTGAATGATGGTAAATGTGTTTCAGAGATAAACTACCTGGC